CCCCACAGTCCAAAGACATGTGCTGTAAGTGAATTGAGTGAGCTAAATTGGTTGTAGTGTATGTGTGTGCATGAGTGTGTATGAATGTTTCCCAGTACTGGGTTGCAGCTGGAAGGGCATCCGCTGTGTAAAACATATGCTAGATAAATTAGCGGTTCATTCCACTGTGGCAGCCGTGGATGAATAAAGGGACTAAGCCGAAGATAAATTAATGAATGAATGAATGAATATAGTCTTTTACTCAGTTGTGATGAACAACCACTGAATATTTCTAAAATGCACTCAAAAATTTATTAATACATCACAGTATTTTGGAATGCCCCACACACATCCACACACACATTCACACACACATTCATACACTACGACAATTTAGCCTACCCAATTCACCTGTACCGCATGTCTTTGGACTGCGGGGAAAACCGGAACACCCGGAGGAAACCCAGGCGAACGCAGGGAGAACATGCAAACTCTACACAGAAACACCAACTGTGCCAAATATCAAAAAGAAAAATGGAATTTGCTGAGGTAGGAGAAGACACTGTAAGCTTTTTATCTTATACAGTATAATAAATCACATGTGCCTCAGAAGTCCAAGTCAAATGAATACGCAGTGGTCTTTAGAGGTGTAAGATGCTCTTTGGGAGTGCTGCTGCTCAAGACAAAGCTTAGCGGTAAAATATAGAACCACCTTAATGACAGACTTTGGCTAGGGGATTATAAAATGACCAAAACAACATACAGATGAGATTGTTCCACCGGTTTTTCATCAAAGTCATCCCATCATGCCTATTTATGTTATCACATAATCAGTTAAAATAAAATTACATTACATTTTTTGAAGCACATGCTGGAATTTATTCAGTAAATGTGTTTGCATTTCTTCTAATTGGATAAAAACATTTATCCTACTCGGCAGCATTTTAATGCAATATTTCAAAGTAATTGCACATAAAAATTGGTGTCTGGAAACATCCAGTAACAGAGTTTATTAAAGCTGAGTATAGTGAGGTAGACCGCTCTCATTACAGTTCCTCAGCTGAATATTTAAATACAACTTTTTAGACTTACTAACTTTTTAGAACTAACAAATTATTGTCAAGGGTGTCGCTGTGAGTAGCACTGTCGCCTCACAGCAAGAAGGTCACTGGTTTGAGCCTCGGCTGGGTCGGTTGGCGTTTCTGTGTGGAGATTCAATGTTCTCTCCGTGTTGGTGTGGGTATAGGGTCTATAGCAGGGGTCACCAACCTTAATGAAACTGAGAGCTACTTCTTGGGTACAGATTAAAGTGGAGGGCTACCAGTTTGATAAACACTTCTCAAATAACAAATTTTCTTTAATTCAATTTACTTTTAATTATACTTTATGTTTTTGGTAACAATTAATGATATTCATCCATGTGAAGACACTGATCATGTTAATGATTCTGATGATGTTGGTGACCCCTGGTCTATAGGTAAATTGGGTGAGCTAATTTGTCCGTAGCGTATGTGTGTGAATGGGAGTGTATGGGTGTTTACGAGTGATGGGTTGCAGCTGGAGGGGCATCCGCTGCATAATACATATGCTGGATAAGTTGGCAGTTTATTCCACTGTAGGGAACACATATTAATAAAAGGACTAAGCCTTAAAGAATATGAATGAATGAATGAAATTATTTTCAATACTCCATGAATAACCACTGAAAAGTAAAATGAGTTATTTCACTGGAAAAAAAATACAAACATATATTGAATGTTAATGTATAGGAATGAAAAAGAAAATAAACATTGTGAACTCGCTTTGACCAAAGAGATGCTTCCTAAAAATTCCAAATGTAACATTATTTCACAATCACAATAAAAATAAATCACATAACTATTTGTAGCTAAATAAGTATATTTGCCGATGTAATTTTTAATTAATTAATTATTATTGTTATTATTATTATGTTATTTTGAATGGAAATTCTCAAAACCGGAATTGCAATTTCAAAGCGTGGGGAAAAAAAGGACACAACTCTACCAAGGGTCATCCCCACTTAATGCCTATTTAAAAACCTTCTTCTTTACACAACTAAGCTAGTTATTTGAACTTGTGCTCTCTTGAGACAGCACTGTCGCTCAGATCATACACATCCCACCTTCCATTCCACTGCCAGTGGAGCAGCATAAGAGCAGACTGTTAACTGTATGTGGGGGTGATTTTGAGTGCGCTTCCAACCTTATCTCTCCTCACACTTGTGATCTGTATATTTAAACACCTGCACACTCTTCTGCTTTTCACACCTTCTGCCAGACCTAACTCTAGACATTTACTCAGTTTAGTGTTTTATGCTGCATTTTGGGACAAAAAATGGCAATTTCATGTTGAGGACTTCATACGTTAACATTGAAAAATTATTAGTTCAGAATTGTTTGAAATTTTTTTTATATACTTTTTTGTTTAGCAAAGACACATTACATCTATAAACAGTGACATTAAAGATATTCCTAACATTATAAAATGAATGCTGTTCTTCTGAACTTCCAATTCATCAATGAATACTAAAAAAAGTGCTTCATGGTGTCCACCAAAATATTAAGAACACAACTGCCTCTCTTTAAAAATAAGAACATGTTTTAATGATGTCTGTATAAAGCTGACAATTCAGCATTGCCATCATAAATGACATCAATATATTGAAATAACAAAATACAGTTATTTTAAACTGTAGTAATTTGTCACAATATTACTGTATTGATCAAATAAAGTCAGAACTTAGGACTTTTAAAAAATAGAATAGTGTATATTTGTGAAGATTTCAATCTATGTTCTATAGCTTTTAAAATATGCAGTTATGTGAAAATATTTCTAGTAGTTATTGTAAGCGGAAGTTAATTTATTGGCAATCTAGGTGATAGTGCAGCTCTAACGCTGTACAGCGCTCAGCTAGGAAGATGACAGGTCACTTTAAAAGCTCATTTTCGACATCAATAATTTTATGGGGATAATAAGATCAGGATAATAGAAAATCTTTCAAGTGAATAAACAGAGAGAGGAACAGCTTTTAGGGTAATTAGCTTTCATCACACGCCCATGAGAATGTCTGATGACTCATTTTCGATGCAAAACAAAAAAACTATCTGAAATGTCGGGATTTAGGATATATGCCTGTTGTAACCTAAATCCCTTGAGACAATGGGTGGGAAGTGCACTTGTTCTAGATGTGTGCAAACCAGTTTTTGGTTCCCACGTTACAACATGTTGAAATGGACACAAAAAAACATTTCAGTTTTTTTTTTAATTTGGTGCATTTTCAGAGAAACTGACTGTTGATGTTGATGCCAGTTGACAGTGGTGATATCAACAGTTGACGCTGATGACAAAGTTATCACAATGTTTTACATTATCACTGTTATGCCCACTTGGAATGTTTCACAATGTGTGTCTTCTCATTTAGCCTATAATTTACAAGGCAACTAAATTTTGGAGATAAAAAACACAAACTTTTGCAGTTTTAAATTCTTAGTCCTTTGAAAATGTAGTTATTTTTTGGCAAAATGATAAAGTCTATAGGCATGTGTGAGTACTCAACAACCAAAACAACAGCCAACTGGACAGCTCAAGAAAACAAGCCAACTAATTTGCTTGTATTTACCTCTTTGTTGAAGAATTCAGATATCTTCTGTGTGCAGTTTTTCTTTAACATGCAAATCACTGGCCTGGCTTCAATAATACAGATATTTTTTGTCATTTTTGCAGATACGTTTGAATGGGGATTATTTAAAAAATATGTTTTTTATTGTTTTGTATCTATGCAAAACTTTTCCAAAGTTTTAGTACATTGCCATAGTGTAAAACATCCCACACAATAGGATAAAAAGTAATATATATATATATATATATATATATATATATACTGTATATATATATTGTGAACAATTGTTTTTATTATTTCAGTTTTTGTTTAATATAGAAAGGATACAGCATATTACTATATCGTAATCCAATCCTGAATCCTCACCCATCACACAGACTTGTTCTATAATAACAGAAGTTTAAAGATTGCAGTAAAAAATCTAAATAAATAAATAAATAAATAAAATAAAAAAACAAGAATAATGGTAGACCAAATAGGTTAATGAGTCGAAGTTTTCATGAGATACAATAAGTAATATATTTTGAGTGAAAATTCCAAGGCCAAAAATGTAACAAAAAGTTGACATTTTATTTCATACTGACTTCAATAAAATGCATTATGTCATTTCAAGCTACAGTATGTTTCCAAATATTAAAATAATCAGAGCTGACAGTTGTACAGTTCATTTAGATATTATCCTTGTATTCAAGGTCATGATGCTGACATTTCCTTAAATATCAAAAATATCTTTCTTTACAGCATGAATCCATGGTAAGAGGGCTGATTATTTATGTTTTTACTTAACAATAGTAATTTATTTATACTGAATATGTTAGGAAAAAGTAGATAACAAATTTGTCACATAAATAACATAACATTTGCTTATACAATATATTAGAGGAAAACAAAAACAAACCTTTATTTAACTAAACACATTTCTGTGCATGCAGATATTTCACTGAAGAAATTGTTATGTGAAACGATAGTAATTCAAATGTATATGTATATTTATAATGTTCATTGTCCACCACAATAGTAATTATCGTTGCCAAACTAAAGACTCGTAACTGTTTATTATGAATCACACATAGATAAAGATGAACCTTATAACTCGTGCACTGTGAGTGTGACATTACACAACCCTCTGCCAGCGTGCATTGGTGATATCAACGATCGCATGCTCTTGTATTGGATTAGGAAGTTAAAGGTGGGTCTAGTTCATCCTGAATGAAGGAAAGGTACAGTACGACACACCTCTTCACCATGTTCATTCCTGTCTGCTTTAATTACATCCAAAACCACAAACATGAAACTACCGACCATCTAAAAATCAGCTTTCGTCGCTTCTTCTGCAGACCCCCAAACACAATATAAACGTTAAAATTTTGGATTCACTCACCCGAAGAGACAGAGGAGCCCGACAGACTGGAGTTACTTGACGCTGCCATCGCGTCTAATTCACTGAATCTCTCCGCTTACTTGCGTCTGTTAGGGCTTGACAGCTCTTCCATCCCAGTCCCTGCTCTCCTTACCGGTCTTCAGCTTTCCAGAGTTCCTCCAAAAGAGCCGATAATGCCCAGCTGTGAGTGTCGGAGCAGAGGGGAGTCGCCAACGCTGCCGCATTTACATGCGCGTATGTGGCAGCAGAAGAACCATATGGTGAAACTAGTTGATACGAGCCGAAATATACGCACAGAAAATATGACAACTCGTCTACTCCTCGCTGTTGTGAAATGCAGAATACAAAAAAACTTCCCCGTCGCTCCGCGTGCTGTCCGTGACTGTAGGTTTCGCCATATTTAGAGTCTGTGATTGCACTGTATCGCTTCCATGTGCCACTTCAAGGCTCGTAATAAACACACAGTGTGTGCACAGGCGAATCCGCCTCTTAAAGTGAAACAAACGCGCGTCACCGGAGCGCGCACATTCCTCCTGTCTACCTGACCATACTGTAAACCGCAGATGCATGATTGTCTGCTGTAGGCTGTGTCCATATAAGAAAGTTGAATTCCGTTAGTGTTGTTCAGAAATGTTACATGTTCAACAATTTGCTTGTTACATGTTTGTCACAAGTGTTTTGTTACATGTTACATAGTTAAAGAACAAATGGCACAAAAAATAGCAGTACACCTTGCTGTACAGTTGCTTTAAAATATGCATTATAAACCACTAAAATGAATGGTAACGTAGCATGAAAAATAAATTAATGTTTCACAACATTTATAATAAATGTGAATAAGAACTGATAAAATAAAAAGCATTAATAGCAGTTTTTACAGCTTTTTATGACACTTTTATTGACGTTGATAGACAAGTGCAACATACGTTCAATTGGGTGTGGTGGTAAAATATTCAGTTAGAAAGAATTGATGATGTTACTTTATAACCACCTTGGGTGTGTATTCACTCTCTCATGTCCTTCGGCTTATAGTCTCTCATTTATTAGGGTTCGCCACAGTAAAATGAACCACCAGTTACTTTGGCATATGTTTTATGCAGCAGATGCATTTCCAGCCACAACACAGCACTGGGAAACACCCAACCATCACAGTACTGTAAAAATATTAATTATTGTTATACAGTGTCATAAAAAAAGTCTCTATATTGATGTGTATATCGTATTTCCGGCTGGCTGCGTATCCGATTTATAGGCTATAGACATGCGGTATAGGTGAATTGAATAAATATTATATAAATAGCAGAGTAGTTTTAACCAGGCAGTTTTATGGCATGTTTACTCTGTTGCAACAAAGAATGTTATTCGATGATCAAACAGAACCATACCTGAAAGTGTAAACTTTTAAATAATCTTCCCTTTGCACTTTGCAATCTGTACACATGCACAAACATCCATGGTTTAGCATAACACCTTTTAATTTTGGCAAGTGGTTAATAAAAAGTTAATTTGCTAAGATTTATAACATCTGGGACAACAGCAGCAGACAGTGGTATAGAAATATAAGAGTGGTAAGGTCACTGGTGTATTTTTTGTTGAAAAAAAATTTTAACTTTAAACTTGGCTCAGTCAATCAGAATCAATGGCCATTATAAAGTTAGCCTTTTTATGACATAATGTATTGAAAGACTTGTAATATTGTCACACTCTCTTAAAAATAATATTGTTCTTATATAAATAGGATACAAAGTTACAAAAAAAGGAATTGTGAAGGTTGAAAAGGAAGGTTTTTATTATTAGGTGCAAAAAAAATACAAAACTGCAAAGCCCTGTGTGAAAAAGTGTTTGCCCCATAAACCTAATATCTGGTTGGGCCAGCTATAGAAGCAATAACTGCAATCAATTTTTTTTTCTCAATTATTTGCAAGGAGTCTGTTACAGTACTGTGAAGGAATTTTGTCCCACTCATCTTCGTAGATATGTTGTAATTCATCCACATTGGTGGTTTCAAGCATTAAGGAGGCTCTCTCAGTGGTAAAGACAAATTCTTATCCAAAGTTTTATTCTTTGCAAAGAAGGTCATACAAACATACATCAATGACAGTTTCTGCAGAGTGAGACACAGAAACAGAGTGCATTCTCTTTTTATCTAGTTAGCAATACCCACAAGGTCATCAGTGACATACAGGATGAATCACAGTTACACAGTCTTACCTCCCCATCGAACATGTAGCTTGTTAAATCACCAGGTACTTAACCAGATCTTGTCTGGTGATAAACAGATGTTAAAGTGGTCACATTTGGTCTAATTTAAACAGTACATCCATGGAAGAATAAAAGAACAGACCTTTATACTGTAATGTATATAAATGAGTAAACGAATATAAGATAAATAAAATTAATTTCCACCAGACATCTCAATTGGATTCCAGCCAGGACTTTGACTAGGCCACTCCAAAGTCTTCATTTTGTTTTTCTTCAGCCATTTCAGAAGAGGACCTGCTGATGTGCTTTGGATCATTGTCCTGCTGCAGAAAAAGTTTGCTTCAACTTTAGGTCACTCATATAGATATATACATAGCTGTCACATGGCTATTGTAGACAGCTTGCATCACACCTTTTGCACATATATCTTGAGAATCATCAAGATGTTATCTGGCAAAACCAAGATAAGCCTTTATGTTGTTTTTTTTTTTTTTTTTTTTTTTTTTTGCACAGCATTTATTTACATCCTGGAACTCTGCCAGGCAAATCATTTTTATTCAGTCTTTATCTTATGGTGGAGTCATGAACAATCACTTTTAATGTGACAAGTGAGGCCTGCAATTCTTTGAATATTGTTGTTTTGTCATCTCTTGGATGAGTTGCTGCTCTCTTGGCAGGCCCAGATTAAGAATTCAGAGGTCCCTGTGCACAGTGTCTTGTAGGCCCCCTTCCTGGCCACTATAGTTGCATTAAAAACTAAGTTTAATATAATATATATATTTTTTTAAATAAAATTAATCTATAATGTATTGCCCGCATTTAGAAAAAGTGATATATTTGTAAATATATACTCATATATTTGTAGTCTACAAAGATTTTACTTATTTTAAGGCATTTAAAGCATACTTTGAAAAAAATACTAATACCAGTGAAAATTGATGGATTTAAGTTCACAGAAAGTAGCAGTAAAAATTTATATTTAAGGGTATTTTTAATATATAACTTCTATAAAGCATACGGTTTGGATAACAGCTCTCCAATCTAGTTTTATGAGTCCTCCATAATACACACACTTAATAATGATTCCTACTTGTCTTCCTCATGATGGAGATTAGGTAAAATCTGATATGTAGTGGGGAGAAAAAAGAACATGTTTTCAGATGCTGAATTTGAACCGGGTTCATAATTGATCACGTCAAAACATGTTGCCATGTGCTTTACGAGCTTCACCACTCAGGCTTCTGTCGGTTGCGTTCTTCACTTATGTCGTCTGTCAATCAAACAGTGATGGATTACTCAGCTTATTCCAACGAGATGCGCTATTTGCACTTTGCCTAAATAGACACTGCAAAATCAGCATTTTTTCCCCTTCGCAGGGGCCCCAAGTGCGCACGGGCCCCTTGGCCTGTGCCCTTTAGTGCCCACTGGTTAATCTGGCCCTGACTCTTGGGGTAATTTTGGTTGACTGGCCACTTTTAGGAACGCTCTCTAGTGTTCCATGTTTTTGCCATTTATAATGGCTCTCACTGGCTTTATATCCTTCTCCACACTGGTAGATCTCAATTGTGTTATTTTTCAATTATTTTTGAATATCTTTGCATCTAGGCATGATGTCTAGCTTTTGAGGATCTTTTGGTCTAATACACTTTGCCAGGCATGTCATATTAAATAGATTATCTTTTATTTTTTTGATCGCGAACAAGTGTGGCAGTAATCAGGCCTATGTGTGGCTAGAGAAATTGAACTGAGGTGTGATAAACCGGAGTCTAGTTATGCTTTAACAAGGGGGCAAATTACTTTTTCACACAGAGCCCTTAATAATAAAACCATTATTTGAAGACTGCATGATGTGTTTAGTTGTGTTATCTGTGACATGCTATACAGTGGTATTTTTTTCATAGATATCAGGTCAGAGGATGTTTGTATTTGCACAATAGTTGTCACATGTATTTATGTGTTCCTAATTTTTCTCTTTAGTTTTATTGTTGGCCATACACAATTTGGCAATACACAAATTGGTTGTTTTTTATAGAGATTTTGCTCAAAAGTCCAAAATAGAATATTTGATGCCAGATTTAAGCAGTTTCAGTGGTTTTGAATATTCAGGACTTTAACATTTATGAGTTTTTTTTTTCTTTTCTTTTTTTAAGTAACCCAGTGAAACTTTCACATGTGATGATCATTAGGTAGAGCAAATGTACAACATTTTCAGGTACACTCTAAATTGTGCCTCTAGGGGTCCCTATTTTAGACTAAAGTTCCTGGTTTAGTTTGATCACATGACACAGCGCCCATGTAGTCATGTGACTGCTGCAACTACAGCGTGACAACAACCTGATTTTTAGTTTACTCATGTTTCATCTGCCAGTGTAAACGGTTTCTGGATTTCTCGTTGGATTTTGGCCTTTGGGTAAGCCAGTCATTGATTAGAAAAAAACTATTTTAATTAGGAAACATTTTATTGTGTAACTCAACTACCAATATATCACAATTGCTATTTGTTTGTTTATTCTGTTATGCATTATATGCCATGTTTGTCCTTTAATTGACCGCATTTGCACTGTTCGACGGGATTTGTCGTTGCTTATTTTCTCTTATAATATGTTTGGGCATGTAAAGACAGACGGCAACTTGAGCCTTTTAATATCAAGCTCGATCATTAATCCCTGTGTCACATTTCTTTGCTGTCGCTACTTCAGACTTCACAATGCTGAAGGAAACGCTGAGGCTGCTCTTCGTCTGGGCTGTTCTGGAGTCAGTTTGCTCACGCGGATGTTCCTCATTTTTCTGCCGCAAAACACGTCGGGTGAGCGGTTCGCGTTTTGGAGCTGACCCGGGCAAACCACTGATGCTCACCCCTTATCTGGAGCAAGGCAAGATAGAAGAAGGTATGCTAGCTGTTCAATTCTTCATAAACTTTTTTTAAAGCCACCTGTAAAAGGAAGATATTAAAATAGATTTCTTTTTTTATTTATTTATTATTTTTAATTAAAGACAGTAGTTTACTGTCTTTAAATAAAACAAATTATAAGTAAAAATATTAAATCACCAGTCCTAGCTAATGCTATAAGCTAGCCACACTATTAAATTATCAAAAGAGTAGACTAAATTTAAGCTTTAAGGCTGAATTGTAAGGCTACTTGCATGGTATTATTCATTCATTCTTTTTCTTTTTGGCTAAATAAAGGTATACTTACCTTTATTTATCACAGAGGAATTATCCAAACTTATCCAGCAACCCAACATTGGGAAACACCCATACACTCTTGCGTTCGCACACATACACTACGGATAGTTTAGCTTATTCAAGTCACATATACCACATCTTTAGACTGTGGGGGAAATCCACACGAACATGGGGAGAACATGCAAACTCTACACAGACTGTGACCCAGTTGGGGCTCAAGCCAGCGACCTTCTTGCTGTGAGGTGATCATGCTACCCACTGCGCCACTGTGACGCCCCTTTTGTGGCATTATTCTTCTCATAATTCAATCATATGATACTCTTTATTCCAGACTCTTGGTCCAATAGTACAAAAGACAGACAAAACCATACAAACCACATAATATACATTAAAACAAGACAGTTATGCCAATATTACATAAGAGGTGACTCATAACACACCTCAGTTAGACTAGAGTTTATTAAACAACATTAAAGTGCTATTCTTAGTGTTCTCCCATTGACAGATAAACTTATAGATCAAATTTCTCATCAAAGCAAAAAATGATCAAACGCATACCTTACAAAAAATCGCACCCCACTATCTATGTTTTTAAGAAGTATCCTTATAAAATCATTGTTTTCAAACTGCACCTTAAGGAGACTCCATAACTATAACTTTCGATGTTCATTCGATGTATATTTCATTCATTGTCTTTATATCTTGCCCTAAATAAGATGAATAATAACATGCCCTAAATATTTAAGTTTTCCTAACATTTAATCTTGCCCTGACGCACAAAAATCACAGTTCTACATGTCATGTAAACACTCATTTTAAATTATATTGCTCATATTTCTGGCCAAAATCTGCACAAATATGGTTGTCTAATGATTTAATAGCATCGCCAAGCGCACAGCCAGTAATATAATATTTCAGTGAGTAAATTACAAATAACCACAAAATTGATCAAGGACCAGGAGTGCAGGTTAGAAATAAAATGAAGAATGAAATGATCACTTCAATAACATTAATAAAATAAAAATGAATATAAATAATTTACAAGTTGAATGAACAAATAATGGGCAAATATATAGACATATTTAAATGTCTATTAAAATTGTGTTTTTAAATGTCATTTAATAAAGCAATAAAACAGATGCATTTAAAAATGCATTTAAAATGTATAAATAAACAATTATATAGCTGTTTAATTCATGTTTTAAAACACATATGAATCAATTTTAATCTTATACTGAAAAATGTATTTTCGAATGCCTTAACATTACCTGAAGCCCTTTTAAAAGTATTCAAGTAGTGAGTATTACACTTTGAAAAGTTGATGCGTTTACATGCAGTTCATTCTGTAATGCATTTAGTGATCTTCCCATCCTCGTTTGTTCATTTGTTGATTGATTGATTGATTCATATTTTGTTCCTTTCTACATTTGGTCATTTGTTCATTCATTAATTTGTTCATATCTTGTTTGTTTGTTTGTTTGTTCGTTCCTTCCTTCCTTCGCTCGTTCATTCCTTCCTTGAATCCTTCCTTCTATCATTTGGTCCTTCCTTCATTAGTTCGGTTCTTCTTTCATTCGGTTTTTCCTTTCATTCCTTGTTCGGTCCTACCTTCATTTGGCCCTTCCTTCCATTCTTCATTCGTTCCATTTAGTGATTGTTTAAGGCTGTTCAGTGATTTCAGTCATCATACAGTCAACCTCCTTCATCTTCTCATCAGTGATATACAGTTTATAAAAAGTCTCCAGATCAACGCCTCAAGATTTTGGATATCTTTTTGGACCCTTTTAATGCTTCAAAAATGTTTTCGGCATTCATAAAGCGCCCCTGTTTTGTGGTTGTTCAGTATGATGCGATTTACTTTCTATATGCGATTTGATTGGTCAGGAATCGCAATTTTTCTACTTTAGCCAATCACCATAGACAAGAAAGAAGTGACTGCAGTTTGAGGTAAAATAGTCAATTAAAAGTACAGATACAGCATTACTAATTCACTCAAGGGGAAGTAAAAGCATACATTTTTAAAACTACTTAGTAAATTACAATTCCTGAGAAAAACTACTTAGTAATTGGAGTATTTGTAGTTTGTTACTTTTTACTCCAGTTTCCCCAGTGATAATAATACAATTCTTTGCATTGTGTTTGTGTAGCCAAAAAACTGAGTTTGGTGGGTCCCCTTCCTGGTGCCAATGTCAAGAGTTACTCTGGATATCTCACTGTGAACAAGACCTACAACAGCAACCTTTTCTTCTGGTTCTTCCCTGCCCAGGTACTGTAGTATAATATTATCATTTTATTTTGCAACACTCCACATGATCAATACTAAAGATAAGGTAGTTCAGCTGACTGCAGTTTAGTTTTAGTTGTCAGGTGTTTTTAGATGTCGTTGACAGCATTTTTCGTATATAAAGTTTTATTGCTGTGGACTGCAGTGCACACTGATTTATTGTTGTACATGTTTTATCTTTTAGGAGAGACCAGAGACTGCTCCGGTTCTGCTGTGGCTGCAAGGAGGACCAGGAGGAACCTCTATGTTTGGCTTGTTTGTGGAGCACGGCCCATATTTTGTATATAAGAATCTCACATGTGAGTAGAAACATCTGTTAAGAGAGATTACTGTGCTCTTCGTTTTCCCACATTATGAATATTCTTAGGCCAAAAAGGATATTTTGTTGCTTAATAGAAAACGCACAGTTTTCCTGGCTCATAATGCGGCAGAGGTGGCATCCTGATCATGAAACAAACACATTTTGCATTTATCTTGTAAAAGTAAAACATTTTATTTAAAGGTAACCTAATATGCAAAAATTGATTTTATTAGTGGTTTAAGCACAGTTGTGTGACAACAGTCATGTCACCGGCCTCTTAAGGTAAAAATTAATACTTTTTTTTTTTATATAATTACAATTTATAAAAACAGTCTGCAGAAAAACTTTGACTGATATTCTCTCTTTGTACATGTCATAAGACGAGGAAAGTTGAGCCACTATGCTGAAACAGGCATTTGTAGCTCTGCCCCATTTTAAAAAGTGCACAGTCTCAAAAGTAGTGTATTACCTTTTAAAGATGGTCTGACTGTTGACTGTGTTTTTGCAGTGGGCTATAGGCATTTCCCCTGGACATCACGCTATTCAGTTCTCTACATTGACAACCCGGTAAGTTTAGTGTGTTTTAGTTGCTTTTAAACCATGACATCCCAATCTGACACCGAAGAACGAGCAGAGACAAAAGTTTGTTTAAGTAAATTAAACCAAAGTGCTGTGCCTTCATGTAGGAAATGGACTATCTAGATCAGCAGGTATCAATATTTGTTATTCCTCATTTTAACAAGAGAAACAGAAACTAGAATGTCAAATAAACAAACTGTAAACAAAGAGCTTATTTACCATTTGGATTGTTAGTCACAGTTATGTTGATTAAGGCTGTGCAATATAACAGTATATAATGTATGGACAAAATAAAGTCTATCGTTTAATATTATGCTCTGGTGTTTATTTTGTGGTGTCACAAATCAGATTGTTTTGTAGTAATATTCATTCATAATTACATCTATACATATTATTAAGAGGATGCAGACAGAAACACGAATAACAGAAGTGCGAGTCTTGAAATTACAATGTTTACAGTTTTTATTTTATTTAGCTATATATATATATATATATATATATATATATATATATATATATATATATATATATATATATACATACATACATACATACATACATTTTTTTTTTTTTTTTATGTTGGCATGTACACTATAAAAAAAGATTTTCTTTCTTGGGGTTAATTTTCTTTTGTTTCCAGTCCAAATATCTACAAATTCTTTAATCAAAAAGCATTTTGTAGACAAGCAAAACATACGGTATAGTGTTGTTTTCAGAAATAATGTCAAAATTATAGATGTGAAAATGTATTCATCCATTTCCTTTTTCGGCTTAGTCCCTTTATTAATCTGGGGTTGCCTCAACGGAATGAACCACCTACTTATCCAGCATATGTTTTGCCCTTCCAACTGCAACCCATCACTGGGAAACACCCATACACACTCATACACTATGGCCATTTTAGCTTACCCAATTCACCTACTGTATTCCACGTCTTTGGACTGGGGGAGAAACCAGAGCACCCGGAAGAAACCCATAGGAACACGGGGAGAACTTGCAAATTCCACACAGAAACGCTAACTGACACAGCTGAGGCTTGAACTAGCGACTTTTTAGCTGTGAGACAGTTGTGCTACCCACTGCACCACCGTGCTGCCCTATAAAATTTTAAATTTTTTTTCTTAAAACAAACAAAGTAATCTACCAACAGGGTGCTTACCTCATTAGCAGATCATTTAGCTTGTTTTAAGAAAAAAATTCGCTTAATTTTGACTTATTTTTTAAAACATGACCTTTGAAAAGGAAAAAAGGAAGGAAGAAAAGCATTTTTGCAGTGTAATCGTTTGTTTTGAACTTGGTTTTATATATTATTAATATTTAGCTAGTATTTCTACTTTTGTTTTTAATCAATATTGCCCTAATGTTCTAAGTAAATTGAGAAAGATGATCACATCTGAAGTAGTACATTTCTGAGTATATACTTGCATTCTGTCAATAAAAACGGTACTCGTTGTCAGAATATGAGATGGCTTATCTTGTGATATGAGATTTTTGTCATATTGCATAGCCCTAATGTTGATTACTTTCTTCACTCCCAATTAGCTCAATTTATGGGAATATGTGCATATTGAAATGCTCAGTTAAGATGATGTGACATTAGAAAAGACTGGCTGTGTCATCTGGAAGTCTGCTTGTTTTCATTAGTTTTGCTTTTATTCTTATTGACTGGCTTGTTCACTAAACAACAGCCAATCAGAGTGCTGATGGCCCTCATGCAGATTCAGCATGCTGAATCGTCTGAACTGCTGCCAACTTGAGCTCAACTAGAACTACTGTGTGGACTACACTACTAAGTCTAGGGGCCAGTAACTATGGTGTGCATCTCTCAGGCTAGTTTTTATCCTAATGCACACCATATTTAACCGATGGCCCTTAGACTAAGATGGTTATGTCTAAATAACAACTGTCTATTTATTTTTGTATTTTCATCAATTTTAATTAAATAAATTAATGCATATATTAATTTATTTTTAATATATTTCTATATTTTCTTTTTTATAGATATTTTATTAATATATATATATATATATATATATATATATATATATATATATATATATATATATATATATATATATATATATATATATATATATATATATATATATGTATATGTATGTATATATGTATGTATGTATATATGTATGTATATATATATATATGTATATGTATGTATATATGTATGTATGTATATATATATGTGTGTATATATATATATATATATATATATATATATATATATATATATATATATATATATATATATGTATATGTGTATATATAATAGTTTTTTATATTTATTTTTATTTTTATTTATTTTTGTTTTTTTTTCCAAAATATGTTTTTATAAATAATGTATCAAAAGAAGGTGATTTGGCTAAAAGAAACAAAATGGTTATCATAATACTTTTCCAGTTGATTGTTTGCATTAAGAACTGCTTTATTTTTTTTTCTTAATAGTTTTAAGGTTTTTTTAAATTTTCTTACATCATGTGTTTAAATAGACAAAATAAGGTACTTTTTAATTAAATAGGTGGTCATTTACATAAGCTTCTATTATAAATATCCAAACATTGGATTAAGTTGCAGAAAAGATTGTAAATAGGCACAGAAGAAAAAGATAATAAGTAGCACTTTAATTTGATGGTTCATTTGAGAATTAGTAGACGGTCTGCCTAATATCTGTTGATACTGCTCCTTCAACAGACATTTAACTGACTATAAGAAACTTTGCTAGTACATGTCAACTTACACTAACCCCAACCTAACAGATACGGCCTGGTCCAGGATATGGAAACCGTGGGATCATCTAGTCGCTGGTCTTGGATAGAATCAGTGACTCTGCATAGTCTGAGGGCCTCGCAAAGAGTATCCCCAGGTGGAAATAGAGAATAAAAAGAATAATTAGCGTAGCTGCTGTTCATAGTGTATATAAACAAGATGTAAATTGTAGATGCAATGTAACCTAATTAAACAAACACACCATCAAAATAAAGTGTGACTGAGTAAATTAAAATGTTTTATAGTACATAATCAGGCATATAATGTATGAACATATCCCTCTGTAAAAACCTTCAGAATACAGACATGAACAGGTTGATTTATGTAAGTGCTGCAGAAGTGGAGATATATGGCTCAGTGCACAAGAAACTCATTTTGGCCTTAAAATGATGGGTTACAATTAAAATATACTGACGCAAATTGATAATGCTAAATAATAAAAACAATGTGTAAAGGTGTATTACAGTCGTTTTCTTTTCATTAGACAAAAAAAGTCCAAAAAAATCACAAATGTATTGATTTAATGTGTTCTCAAGAAAATAAACATGTAATATTAAATGTATATGTGTTATATTATATCCCATGGCTTTTTTATGCAGTTTGAGAATGTTAATATTGTACTTTTATAAAAAAAAATGTAGATCATTAGATATCATTGTTAAATGCATTCAGGGTAGCTAATTATATTTTCTGTCTTGAGTGTTGATTTATTAGCACATAATTTAATTATCACACAAATTAGGAACGGAAAAAAATGTTGATCAACAGTCCTCCTTCAAATACACTGATTCTGTACATGAAGTCTCGTGTGTGTGGTTTGTTTTTCAGGTTGGGACAGGATGGAGTTTCACTGAGGATGACCGAGGGTTTGCCCAAAACCAGGATGATGTGGGCAGAGACTTGTATAGGTACAGTGTCAGTGATTTTACTGTATATCTAAAGCAATGCTGGTGATCTTGTATTAATCTTTTTCATTTCCTCTGCAGTGCCCTGACTCAATTCTTCCAGATATTTAGGGAGTTCCAGTCAAATCCGTTTTATGCTACTGGCGAGGTGAGAAAAGGGAGATTTTGGATTGATGTGATATAAATCCTGCTGTCTTTATGCAGTCAAAAGAATGTGTTGTCTGCATTATAACAGGTTTTATATTTGACATCTTTAGTCATATGCAGGAAAGTATGTTCCAGCGATTGGCTACTACATCCACAGGAACAATCCCTCCGCTAAAGTGAAGATCAATTTTAAAGGAGTGGCCATTGGAGATGGATTGTGTGACCCTGAACTGGTAAATAACAATAAAATAATAATAATAAATGTTTATTTTCAATTGTAGGGGATAATGATTTACAGTAATTTGATCGCTACCACTGACACAAACATTTTTGCTAACAATAAGCAGCACCATTACAGCATTTATTAATCTTGGGTATAATTTGTAGCTTTTTACTAATGTATTAAAATCAAAAGTTGTAATTTTTAACACCACTTCTTGCTCTGTGATTTAAAATGAACAAACGGTAAACAATGCTATTTTTTATTGTTTAGTAACAACCATTAGTAACAATATATATATATATATATATATATATATATATATATATATATATATATATATATATATATATATATATATATATATATATATATATATATATATTAGGGCTGTAACGATACACCAAACCCACGATTCGGTTCGTATCACGATTTTTGACCCACGATTCGATTCGTATCACGATTTTTTATTTTATTTTTTTCGTGTGGGGTGGGGAAAAAAAAGATGTTTAAAACTATTTTTAATTAAATAACATTTGAAAAATCTTTATAAACTAAACATCAAAGAACAATATTAACTATGCAAATTATTAACAATATAAATAGCCATATATAAAATAAATAAATAGCCAAAGCTATATCGCTTCTGTTTTCTTTGTAACAAAATACTGTTGAAAAACCAAACTAAACTCCATTGTTTAGATGGTTCAAGCATGTTTAAAATTATTTTTCAATCAAGTTCTCTTGCATAGAAAAAGTAAATTAAATAGCTAGGGATGCTCATTTCGTTAATTTTGCTAACCGACAACCGCCGCTCATTAATCGGTTATTAACGGTGAACTGGTCAGATTACTATTAATTTTATATTAAACAAATTGACGTGTCTATTTTGTGTATGACACATTAAATATTGCATTTTAAAATACTGATTTATTTTTATATATTAATAGCGGAACAGAACAACAGAGCATCTTCACGCACCTGCAGTGTTTAGCACAGAAGAGCAGAATAATCTAAATAAAATGAATAAAATAAATAGGACTGCCCTAAATTATTTTCACTTAAATAATTAATTTATTTTACAAAACGAAAATACTGACTGATTCTTTTTAATAACCGGCATAGGCTTTTTTTCCAATCATATGTTTATTTCTTCCGTCAAATAAAAATCGCAGACTTCCTCAAATTGCTCGCTCCACGGAAAATATGCATTTATTTAATGCCCCGCTGTTATTATTATAATCACAAAACCTTTTACATTTTAATAGAAATCCTTATTTTAAAGATTATGTCCTGATATAGCCTATGGTTTCCTCTCTCTCCCTCGCGGTTCAAGTGCGCGCGCTGCCTGATGAAAAGACAACAACACGCACGCATATGTAGACTTTTTGTAAACAGTTTGTTTAAATATGATATTGCATTAATCTGCGTACATGCTTTAAGCTGTAAAATAAAAAGTAAAGCCTATTTGTTGCGTTTATTACGCAGATCCAGGTCAACATAAGCGCTGGTTTAGTATCAACAGGTCTGTATCAAACAGCAATATTCTTCTTCCATTTTGCTTCTTTAGCAAATGTGTCTGTAGGCACGGGTTATACGTTATCGTCCTGCAAATTAAGTATGCCTTGCAGTTAAACAAGTGGCCGAAAACAAGGCGCACCGCACTGCCTTTATGTTGACAAGGAAAAAAGAAGAGGCTCGGTCCTCTTATAAACGACTGAATCAGCTGGGTATCGATTGTGCAAAAGTGTTGCTGTCTGTGTTGTTGCAATTGTAATATTTAATACTATTGTGATATTCAAGTTTTGTATATTCATACAGCTCTGGATAACTTAAAACAACGATTAGACCTTCAGAGCGGTGTTAATGCGTCCTGAAGTAAAGCGAAACGGCTATAAACTCCAGCAAGATAGAGTGATTATATGCAGAGCCATATACCTTTATCTCTAAATAAAGTAGGCTATAACTATAGAAACTGTGTTTATTTTAACTGAAAGCTTCGTCGTGTTTTCTGACCTCACGCACCTGTCAGTCAGCACTCCCAAAGGTTCAAACAGAAAGCGCACTGCACGGTTACAGAAAAGTTTGGCTGTTACCTAACATCTGGTGAACGCCCATCCCTCTCTGCGCAGCCACATTAACAGTGTGAGCAAATCATCGTATATGCGCTGAAAATCCGGCCGCTTTGACAGCATTGGCAATGTTGCTGGCGTTGTCGGTTGTCAAGCGTGGTTAAGTTGGTTTTGTTTTTGATATTCTTGACACATTCAGACGGCCCCTTACTAAGAGCTCTGTGCGAGCTCTCCCGGCTAAATATTGCGAGGGCTTAAACGGAGCAGTGCTTGTAATGTCGAACGAAAAAAAGTGTTAATTAGCTCAACTTTTGCAGGCACGCGTGACGTTATTGGAAAGGTATCACGGGGTGGGTGTGTCGCGATTCTTCCTTATTACACCGCGACACAGGATCGTAGATCTGAGTGTCGCGATTTCGATTTTATATCGTGTATCGTTACAGCCCTAATATATATATATATATATATATATATATATATATATATATATATATATATATATATATATATATATATATATATATATATTGTCTGTGTTAAATAAAAACGAACAGAAAAAAATGAGTATGATTTATTAAAAACTATTTAAAAAGGCTATTATATATTTGAAATGTAATTTAAAATATCTAAAACATTCAATTTCTAATAAATATTATTTATTCATTAATTTTCTTTTCGGCTTAGTCCCTTTATTAATCTGGGGTTGCCACAGCAAACTTATTCAGCATCTTTTTACGCAGCGTATGGCCCATCACTGGGAAATCTAATAAATATAATTCTTTTCTTTTTTTAAATTCTATTAAATCATGGTCATATATAAATTATGAACTTTTACTTAAAGAAAAATTCTAAATATTTGTATAAAAATATTTATTTTGAAAAGATAGTTTTTTTATTCTTTTTTTTTTAACCAGATACTATAATAATAATAATAAGGATGATGATAATAAATTATATTACAGGAACATATATATTTACCTTATACCATATACATACCATATATAACTGTAATTTTGATGCATTAGTATTTTGTAAAATATTAAAATGACATCAGGTAATAAAAAAAGAAAAAAGTACATTATTTTTATTTTATATATATATATATATATATATATATATATATATATATATATATATATATATATATATACACACACACACACACACACACACACACACACACACACACACACACACACACACACAATAAAAATAATTTTTTTATTTTTTTATTTTTTTTACCTGATGTCATTTTTATATGTTACAAAATACTAATGCATCAAAATGAGACCATGTTGTACAGTGTTTTTCCTCTGTTGGCGATATGCAGACTTCAAATCTGCTGCTCTTCTCTGTCTCAGATGCTGGGAGGCTATGCAGATTTTCTCTATCAGACGGGTCTGGTGGATGAACTGCAGAGGCAGCATGTGAAGATGCAGACAGATGCAGGAGTCAAACTGATTCAGGAGCAGCGATGGGTGGAGGCCTTCCAGGTGAGCCTGTTTTTTCAGCAGATATTGAATCTGTTCCACTAGATACTTGTTATTAGGATGCATTTTTATCACCCCTATCACTTACAACATTTTGAACCAATTTTATATGTGGAAGTCATAGAAACTTCACTTTAGCACAGATGTCTTTACAATATGCTGGCAAACAAAAGCAGTTCAGTCTTTTCTCCAGAATAACTTTATTTATATGAAGCTAGTAATATTATATATTTTAAATGAGGATAAAAGCTGTTTGACATTTAAGTTTGACATTTAAACTCTTACTCATTTCTGTACTTCTCCTCCCTGGCATTTAAAAAGGCCAAATTTAATTTTGACCCTGAAAGAGCACAAAAAAAATGCAGTACGCCCAGAAAATGTAGAAGTTTTCCTCTTCATAGACCTGTTTAATAGAGATTGGTGATTCGAGAAATAAAAACAGTTTCAAAACAGTAGAGTATAATTAAATTTGCCTCGCAAAAAATTATTCACCATTTCAAAGTGTAAAAACATGACATGCTAGGTACACCTGCTGATCAACTGTGTAAATGCAACAAAAACGCAGTAAAACATTTATTAAAATGGGTCTTATCAGACACTGCAAACTGTAACATATCAGAAATGTCCTTAGCTCATTTAATATTATTAAATATTGAAGGGATAGTTCACACAAAAATTTTAATTTACTTAATTTTAGTCATTTACTCGTCCTCTGGTGGTTCCAAACTTTCATGTGTTTTTCTTTTGTTGAACACAAAACTATATATTTTTAAGAACGCTGAAAACCTAAAACCACTGACTTCCATAGGAAAAACAAATACTCTGAAGGTCAGTGGTTACAGGTTTCCAGCATCCTTCCGAATATCATCTTTTGTGTTTAACAGAAGAAAGTAACTTGATGGGGTTTGAAACAAGTAAAGGGTAAATAAATAATGAATTTATATAAATGAATTTTCATTTTTGGGTGAACTTTTCCTTAAAGTTTCTGCACTCTTTTCTAAAAGTTATGAAGGCTTATAATTTTGTTCCATTGTGGGCTCTGTTGACAGAGTGCTTAAAAGTGTTCTTGGATTTTCAAAGGATTACAGTTGATCCACTGAATTCACAATAGAATGTTTTGGTTGTTTTTGGTTTCTTTTCTGGACTTTAAACATTTCGGGCTCTATCATACACCTGGTGCATTAAGGCGCAAGCCATTTTTACGTGATTTGTTACTATTTTTAGACCAATGCAAATGATATTTGCAAGTTTTTTACCACGTTGTTTAAATAGCAAATCCATTTGCGCCACTTTGTGGTCTTATTGGGTGTTCTGGTCTATAAAGGAGGTGTGTTGTTGGCACATTGCTATTTTGAGGAATTGAAATAGACCACACCATTGACCAACTAAAAGCTGGTCTAAAGTCCAGCACAGGGTGTGTTAGTTTTGCACCTATGCAGGTTAAATGCTTAATACACAGGATATACAGCAATGCACAAATATCTTTACATATGAAAAAATAAAGGAATAAAATGTTACAAAAATGATTATTTACTACAGAAATATGAAAAAAACACTACCTCCATGCCTTCAACTCGGGGGGCTTTTTTTTTAGTTTATTCATGGCAATTTGCAATTTTATTTTAAAGTTATTATCAGTAGTAGTATTATTTATTATATGCATGATTATTTTTGTTTTAATAAAAACAAGTTTAGATTTGTCCATCTGTCATATTGTGGGGATGTCTGCATCACCATATGGGGCATACTGTAAGAACAGAACGTGTTTGGATATAACTAAGTTTTTTAACCTCACTTCACTATTACTATTCATTTATTTGTTTGCTGGATGTTACAACTGAATTTAGAAATAGTTTTAAAACAAATTTTTGCGCTTAAACAAAATTTAATATGTAGGCTAATGGATGTCTTCAGTGGAGTGCGTCCAACACCGTTTGCTTATGCACAAAAGTGAAGCAGTAAAGTAAAGTGACCGAATGGAGGAGGCTCATTCTTTATCCTTACGCAGATGGTTTGTTTTACTGATTTCTCGCTAGTGAAGTATTCAGTTTTTCCACTTACAAAGTCCGCCATGTAAATAGCAAATGCACCATAGTGTGATGCAATTGACTCTTAAAGCAAATGTGAGATGAAACTCTGATTGGTTTAATGCACGTTTGGCTCAACACCCCTATAACTCATTAAGAGAATAAGCTCAACCCTGTTAGACCATGCGCTGCAGCGCAAACCGTATTTTTCCGCCCTTAAAATAGCAACATTAGATTCAGACATGCCCTTAATGGTTTTGTGTAATGCGCTTTAGGGCCTTATCATACACCCTGTGCAAGGCACGACGCAGCTGTTGTTTGCTAGTTTTAGCTCGGCGCAAGAGTTATTTTGACTTTTTGCATCATGCTGTTTAAATAGTAAATGCATTTGCGCTCTTATGTGCGCCCATAGGTGTTCTGGTCTAAAAAAGGAGGCATTTATAGGTGCATTGCTGGCATGTTGCTATTTTGAGGAACTTAAATAGGCAAAATAGACCAGAATAAAGCGTGAAGACCAGAAGGGATCTTCACGCGCGCGCTCAACTGATCGAGCGCGAGAAAACAATTCCCGCGCCCGCACATCATCATCTGTGCGCACGATGGACGCTCTCGCGAGCGAGGTCATGCCTACAGCGCGCGCGCGCGATTAGTTCTCTCCGCTCGCTCGCTGGTTCTTCTCTCTGCTCACGCGAAACATTTTGGATTTTTGTCAGTCCTAGGGCGAGACTTAGATTACTTGTTATCTCTAACGCTATTGGCTACTGTAATTTTTGAGCTGTAGTTTTTGAGCTGTAGTTTTCTCACGTGTAGTGTCTGCTCACGGTTAACTTCTCCTCGTGCGCACCGCTGTGCTCGATTAATATTGGCATTGATTTGCCGCCATAAATATCTTTACAAATGAATAAGGATTAAAATATTACAAAAATTATTATTTTTTAGCCTACTTAAAAACCACTACCTCCATGCCTTCTGAATTTTGGGGGGCTTTTTTAGTTTATTTATGACAGTTTGCTTTTGTATAATGTTATTATTTGTAGTAGTGTTGTTTATTATATGCATAATTATATTTGTTTTATTTAAAAAAAACTTACCACCTGCACACCTGTCAGGTTGTAGACCAAATGGGGCATAGCATGTGTATTTGGATATAACTTTTTTTGGAACTGAATTTAGAAATAGTTTTGAAACAAATCTTTGCGCTAAACAAAAAAATATATTGTATAGGCTCATGGATGTCTGTGCGTACAACACGTTTCCTTATCCACGATAGTGAAAGTGAAAGTAAATAATGAGGAGCTTCATCTTTCATTCTTGTGCTGTAGATGCTCAGTTTAACTGTTTACTTGCTAGTGAAGCATTCAAGTTTTTTTTTACTTACAAAGTCTGCCATGTAAATAGCAAATGAACAATGGCGGGACGCAACTGACTCTTAAAGGAAATGGGAGAGAAGTATACCTATACCTATAACTCATTAAGAGAATAAGCTCAACCTTGTTAGACCATGCGCCGCAGCGCAAAGCTGATTTTTCCATCCTTAAAATAGCAAAAGTGGATTCTGACACGCCCTAAATGCTTTTACACCCTGCGCTTTGGACTTTGCGCATGAATCGTCAAAATAGAGCCCTTAGACTGCACATAGATTGTTAAAATAAAACCCATGAGGTGAGGGTGATTAGTTAATAACATAATATTTGTTTTAGAGTTATCTAACCTTCCAGTTTCATCTGAGAAATGATCATTCATTTTAGCTGAACACTTCTGAATGGGTTACTAAAAGGGAAGCAGAGCTGAGACAAAAACTCTATGTTCTGTCTTCATGTTTTAGTTGAGATTACGTCAAACTTTGACTAAAAAAATTCACATTTCAAAGCACTTCACAGGACATTTAAATGAACTCTGAAAACATCCCTTTTGCTCCACAGGTGTTTGACAGCTTACTGAATGGGGATCTTGTTCCTTATCCTTCATACTTCCAGAACGTCACTGGTTGCACCAACTACTTCAACTACATGCAGTGTCAGGTAATGTGTTGATTCTACAGACACATTTACTAACAATCAAACGGGTTGTATATTATTTTTGAAGAAATAGTCTGTGCCTAAATCTGTTTTTATTTTTGTTTCTTACTAGGAACCTCCAGATCAGGAGTATTTTTCTTCATTCGTGACTCTACCAGAGGTTCGACGCTCCATCCATGTTGGGAATCTGACCTTCAACGATGGCTCAGATGTGGAGAAACATCTGCTTCAGGATGTCATGAAGTCCATCAAACCCTGGTTGGGCGTCCTGATGGAGAACTATAGAGTGAGGACGCCGTTTTGTTTGTTTTTTTAGATTAAATTAAATACCAACATCATATTTCATTAATAATTTGAATTTAATTTAAGTTTTAGCTTACTAGAACACCTAACTATATGGAATAATTGATCAAATAACAAATACCTGAGATGGTGATGCGCCCACGGCCATGGGTGTACATTATTTCATAATAATTTTCTAATAATTGTAAATTTGAATAATATTTAATAATAACAAATGTTCTTTTTTTTACTTTGACTTTCATACAGTAGGTCTTGATTTTGTGCCGTAAAACTGTGATTGTGTCTCTCAGGTGTTAATCTACAGTGGTCAGCTGGATGTGATCGTTGCGGCCCCTCTTACTGAGCGCTTCTTGCCCACCGTGAGCTGGTCTGGAGCAGACGAGTATAAGACCGCAGAGCGATTCCCCTGGAAGGTTCAGCCCAGCGACACTGAAGTCGCAGGATACGTTCGACAAGTCAGAGAGTTCTTTCAGGTGAGGGTTTGTATTGCTAAATGTTTGTGTTTTTTTTTTTATTGGTTTCTTAATAAATTTGATGGCTGAGTAACTGTGAAATTATTCTTAAAACTTTTTTTTATATAAATATTATATAATAAATATATTTTGTTTTTATTTAATAGATGTATAATATTGTGTAAAGTGTGCCTATACAACCGTTACAAAAAGCTGCATATTAAAATTATCGCAGTCACTGTAACAAATACATTTTTTAAATATTTGAAAGTAAAAAACAGCAGTTTTTTAGCTTTTTCTTTTATATGTAAATCGTGATAGAGAAAATCCCTATTAATATTATTTAAATAATATTTATAAATATTTGAGAAAATTTTTACATAATATTTGTCTCTATACACAGACATATTTGTCTTTTAAAATATATTTTAATATAAAATGTAAGTGTTTGTTTATACATTTAAATGTAACTTTAGTATTTGAATATTGCTTTAAAGTGCTGTTAAATCCAGATATTGCTTATAATAACAACAAAAAATGGTTTTGTTAATCATTATTATTATTATTATTATTATTATTATGTTTTGTCTTTGTTTATTATTATTATGATTATTATTATTATTATTAAATAACAGTTTATCATTATTATTATTATTATTATTATTATAATTTAATATTATCAGTTTATTATTATTATTATTTAATATTATCAGTTTTTTGTATTATTATCATCATCATCGTGTTCATCATTATTAGATATTTTTATTATATATTATTATATTTATTGTTGTTGTTGTTGTTTAATATTATCAGTTTATTATTATTAATATTATTATGTTATTATTATTATTATTATTATTATTATTATCATTGTTTATCATTATTATACATTTTTGTTATATATTATTATTAATATAATTATTAGTATTATTATTATTATCATTGTGTTTCTCATTATTAGATATTTTTATTATATATAATTATTATTTAATATTATCAGTTTATTATTATTATTATTATTATTATTATTATTATTGCTGTTATTATCACCGTGTTCATCATTATTAGATATTTTTCTATTATTATTATTATTATTATTATTATTATTATTATTTAAATTATCAGTTTATTATTATCATTATCATTGTGTTCATCATTATTAAATATTATATAATATATTGTTGTTGTTGTTGTTGTATAATATTGTTAGTTTCTTATTTTTATCATCATCATTATTATCATTATTATTATTATTATTATTATTATCGTTGTTGTTGTTGTTGTTGTTGTTGTTGTTATAAGCCTTATTTGCCATAATTAATTGCCTTGTATAATGGGATTAGTTGCAAACATGCCCTAAATCATACTAATATAAAGCTCCTCCTCTCTGTTTTCTTCAGGTTATTGTCAGGGGAGGCGGGCACATTTTACCTTATGACCAACCAGAGAGATCATTCGACATGATAGACAGATTCCTCTCTACAGATGGATTTACATCTCACTGATAGACTGAGATCAAACATGAAATGTGACCAGTGAATGAATCCGTGTTCACTAGCGTAATGTATATTTCAATGCGATATACCGTGCTCTTATGAAGGCACTGTAATGGTTTATATTTTTTATTAGGCTCTGTTAAGTGTAAGGGCTGTTTTATTGTACATGATTTGAAGATGATTTTTGATTAAAGTATGATTTGAATTTAATGTTTTACCTTTTGGTCTTTTAATAATCTATTCCAATGGTTATTCTTATTTATGTGGAGTGATCAGAACTTTTAGTTATGAATAAAGTCATTTAGCAGACAACTTTTATCCAAACAGCTTACAAAAGATTTTTTACAAAGAAAACCACAATTTAAAGGAAATTACAATTTGATTAGCCCTCCTTTTGAAGGCTTAAAGTCTTATTTATTTTAGTTGGAAAGGAATAAACACAGTTTTCTATAATAATAATATAATAATAATAATAATTCATATTCATTATTTTGTTCCCGAATGAGTGCAGAACGAGCCACTGCCGTCCAATGGAGAAATGACTTGCCTAGTTACCTTAATTACCTATAGTTCAAGTGCACTTTAAGCTGAATTATCTTTTAAATTAACCAGTAAAACAAAACATTATATGCTCTAGAATTACACGTTTATCTTAAAGTTGCCAACAGCGCAGATATTATTCAAAATGAGCGAAATTTATGTTGAATAAATGCCAGTGTCGCAAAAGTTTTTTTTTGTCTCCTCGTCCAATTTTACAATCTCCATCGTTTGTCCTGCAGAGGGCGGCAACTCGCAGTTACAAGGCGTGTGTAATTTTTGTTGTTGTTTTTAATTCAGTGCCACAAGAACAAGAGGTATTACAATTCAAAGTTTTCTGGAAGTGAAAAATATATATGTAAAAAAATACATTTACATCAAATGGCCTGTTTTTAGGGCTTTTTCGTTTTGTGATTTTGTTCTGAAAAGATTTACATATAGCCTTTAATTTGAAGTCATGTATATGGCATTTTCCTAATAGCATAAATAAAAATTTGTTGTCCTTTACAGTTCAGGTTCTCATTAGAATAAAACAGTACATAAAATAAACAATTTTCTATGCTCCTTTTTATTAATTCCAAATTTTTTAAAAAATATTGAGTAAACACAATAAAAAATGTTTCTTTTTCTTGACCACAAAATTCACACATGAAATATTAAGTTAGAATTTTTCCTGTGATTTTTGTCTAGTAGTATTTTTGTTAAACATGTCAAAGCTATTATACAAAACTGTCAGTTTATTTCTCCTCTTTAAGTTGTCTAATGATCTTAAACAGTTTGTTGTTTACTCTTTAGCTTCTATGTATTTTATATATAGCACATTTTGTGCATGCATGGCCATACACCCGGAGCGCTTCACAATCATGAGGGGGGGAGGGGGGTGTCTCTCCACTTCACCAACATTGTGCAGCATCCACTTGGATGATGCGACCACAGCCACAGCCCAATGGCTCCAGTGGACAAGAGAGACAGTGATAGAGCCAATTAAGTGGATGGGGTTGATTGGGAGGCTATGATGGATAAGGGCCGATGGATGATATTTGGTCAGGACACCGCTGTTACACTACTCTTTACGAGAAGTGCGATGGGATTTTTAATGACCACAGAGAGTCAGGACCTCGGTTTTACGTCTCATGCGAAAGACGGCCCCTTCACTTTACTGGGGCATTAGGTTGAGCGTCTCCTACTGGCCTCACTAACACCACTTCCAACAGCAACCAACCTTCCCCATGTAATCTCCCATACAGGTACTGACCAGGCTCAGCCCTGCCTAGCTTTAGTGAGTCTGCAGGGTGATATGGCTGTGCTTTGTTTCTGTAAATTTCCGGCACAGTCTTTGTATTTTTTTTAATTTTATTATGTTGTTTCTGTTACCCTGTCATTATTAAAAGATATATATATATATATATATATATATATATATATATATATATATATATATATATATATATATATATATATCTTTACTCCTAAACGCAACCCTAACTATGAATTTTTCACAAAATCAGAGGTGAATAGTAGTTGAATAACAATCACGTAAAAGCACATAATCCTAACTGTAGCCTAAACTTAACTGCAAACTTATCTGGGCATTTAAACGAGCATTTACCAAGGATGGGCAAAAAATACATTGAAATGTATTTTAAAATAAAATACCAAATAGGCTACCCTAATTTTAGGTGTATTAAAATAAACTACAAATACAGCAGCCATAACGTGTATGAAAATAAAATACCCTTCCCTATTAAACTGACTTAGTAAAGTAAACATTGTTTGATAGCAAATGTGGCCAGTAAAATTGTCCTTATCAATATATCAAGGGTGTTAATAAAAAAAAAATATTCACAGAATTTTACAGAAACTAGTTTTTTTTCTTTAATGTAAAAACTATTAGCAGTTTTTGATGATTAAATTTGTTTTTATATGGTGTAACATTTTGAGGCTTAAATCTTTCCCCTTCATTAACCATACAATGAACCTACTGATCAAACAGCCAATGAAGTATTGTAGGAATAATTTATTATTATCTTGACAAACAAATGTTTGTCATCAGCAATCCATCCAAATCTATTATTATTTGTACAGTATATGTTTTCTCCCAAGATTGTAATCAATCCTTTTTTTAATGCAAAAGTCAACAACATCTAAAGCACCAATCAGAGGGTGTGTTCATATGTCTTGATGCGTATTTCTTACAAAGTTTTTTAATACAAAAATACAAGACACTAAAGTATTTTGATACAAAATATTAACCCATTTTCATAAACCCCATCAAATGCAAATTACAAAATACTATTTTGTATTTAAAATACATATTTGAAATATATGAATCATATTACATATCATATAATATATGCTTATTTATCCTGCAGGGGTGTCAAGCTGAATTCCTGTTTCAGCCCTGCTTCAACACACCTCTATAGGTATCACACAAGCCTAAAGTGCTCAATTAGTTTGATCAGGTGTGTTTAATTAGAGTTGGAACTTAAGTATGTGGAGCTGTTGACCTCCAGGAGTTCACGTAAACGTTTTACAGTACGTGTTCAGTTCATTTAAAGATGGGTATGCCTTTTATGTTAATTCATGTTGTTACAGTATGTTAGTTAACAACAGCAACATATGTCGGGCCCTTGATAATGTCTCTCGGGTCTTTCAAATGTGTGGGCGCCTAGAATTGTCCAAACTTTTCACCCCTAGCTGAGCTCCTGGGTAGTGCTGTCGCCTTTACTGCTGAGAAGGTCGCTGGTTCGAGCCTCGGCTGGGTCAGTTGGGGTTTCTGTGTGGAGTTTGCGTGTTCTCCCCGCGTTTGCATGGATTTCCTCCGAGTGCTCCGGTTTCCTCCACAGTCCAAAACATGTTCTATAGGTGAATTGGTGATTTCATAAACTGCAGAATATAAAATAAACTTTAGATATAAAAATCTAAACACTAATTTGTGCAGAAATCCCATTACCAATATACCCACAAACGGACACATTGTACAGAAAACTCAAAGCAAGTTTCCACTGTGAACTGACATTTCACCGACTAAACAGCTGGAAGTCAGATATATTTCCGCATCATAGCCTATATTTTTTTCTTTGACAAATATGTCCACCAGGGGTCCCTATAACATTAAATATTCAGATGGAAATAGATAGGCTACTGAAGTCTTTAGATTCGCTGAATTCATGTAATTTGTAAAAACTCATAGCAAAAACAAAGAGGAAATAATGTAAAAAAAAAACTGGTTTGTCACTTTTTGATGCATAATATTGCCTAAAGTGGCCTACTACCATTAGTTTGTAAACATTGTAAACATTATAAAAATAATTGCAAATATATATAAAAAATATATTTAAAAAAATAAGGTTAAAGTAGATAGAGAAGATTTTCTCAACACATTTCTAAACATAATAGTTTTAATAACTAATTTAAAATAACTGATTTCTATTATCTTTGCCATGATGACAGTAAATGATATTTCACTAGATGTTTCAAGACACTTAAAGAACAATTTTCAGGCTTAACTAGGTTAATTAGGTTAACTAGGCAGGTTAGGGTAATTATTGTATAATGATGGTTTGTTCTGTAGACTATCGAAAAAATATACAGCTTAAATGGGCTAATTATTTAGACCTTAAAATATATATATATATATATTATATTTATATCTTTATAAATTTTTTATTTTTTTTTTTTTAAATAAAACTGCTTTTATTCCAGCTAAAATAAAACAAAGAATACTTTCTCTAGAAGAAAAAAATATTATTAGACATGTCAAAATTGTCTTGTTTTGTTTAATATCATTTGGGAAAAATTTTAAAAAGAAAAAAAAAATCAAAGGGTTCTGTTTAACACATGTCTGTCTTTCAACACATTTCCAAACAACAGTTTTAATAAGTAATTTTTAATAACTGATTTATTTTATCTTTTCAATGATATGCATAATATTTTACTAGATAGTTTTCAAATACTATTAAGCTTAAAATGCAATTTAAAGGCTTAATAAGTTAATTCGGCTTTAGGCAAGTTAGGGTAATTAGGCAAGTCATTGTATAACAGTGGTTTGCTTGGTATAGAATAAATTGCTCATGAGTGTTAATAATTTTGACTTGAACGGTATATCACTGTAAAACCTAATAGTAAAAATCACTAAATGAAATAAATCAAAAGTTACTTTGACTTAATAACAGTTATGGTAACTCATAAGCTGATTATATTAAGAAGAACTCATACCGAATGAGTTATAAATTATTATTAATTAAAAAAAATAAAATAAATTTGTGTTAACTCAGTGCTAGAAGCAATACCAAACCATCTAAGTTGCTACAGTATATAGTTGTTGGACTCAATTCAACTGGTCTTATATCGGTTTGATAACTGATCTTAAAATGTTTAAGTTACTAAAACGTTTGATGATATAAACACAAATAATATAGGTGTATAAATAAGTTTACAGTACTTAAACCATTTGTGTTTCAAAACTTAATTGGTTTGCCGCAATCGGTTTCCTCAAACAATTTTGAGTTAACTTATCGAGTTTTATGGTATATATGTACAGTATATATGAGCAATATATCAAACGAGTAGCAGTGCAATATGGCTTTATATCGGTCCTGAGAGGTGTGCGTTGGCACGAGGCCACAGGTCATTCACATCCGTTTCTAATTCATCAACATCACTAATAGCTA